GTTTTTGGGAACCATATTTGCTTGAATAGATTGACTATATCATAGGAAGGAGGACAATCTGTCTGAAAAATCATGTTTAAAAGGGGGTGACTGTTATTCTTGGTTACATTCCTACACCAAGAGGGGAATAAGATGTCAAACTAAGCTAAAAGATCCTCAATCGTTTGCCAAGTTTTTGTGTAAAGAAGTCGCAGGTGGGGACTTCCGGATCAAATATCCAAAAATTAGTGGGAAAGGAATTTGTGGATAAATCAGTGAAATGGTTTTTGAAAAATTAAGGGAAAAAGTCAGACTAAAAAGTTAAGAAAACTAGGGTTGAAGGAACTCTAGGACAGTCAGCTAAGCTTCAATGTTAGTAGTAAGAGAGAGAGAACAGTGGTGAAGGGAAATTTAGAGTTCAGTGGGAAGATAGATATGGCAGGAGTTTAGATCTGTTAGGAGCAGTTGCATTGAAAAAGTATGCATTGTTGAATGATAAGAGAAGAGTGAAGATTGAGGGTGATTGCAGTATCTATATTTACAATTCCCAGCAGGAAGATCAAGGTGATTATACATGTACATTATACATTTTTTATAATCAACAGTTTGAAAGTGAGGGATTAGAGTTGGGACTGAGAGTTAATGTAGTGACACTAGTGGTGATAGATGGAAATACAAGTAAAGAGTTCGAAGCTTTAGGGAGAATGGATGAATCAACAACAATGACATCAACACTTCAGCCTATTATAACAACAGTGAGAAGCAATTCAACTCTTTCAACATTGAAAGTTATTAAAGCTATAAATATATCACATTTGATTACAAGTTGTCTGCTAAATGGCATATATTATATTATTATTATTATATTACAAGGGAGCCAATCGCTCCAACACCAATTTTAGAGGAAAAGACTGTCATTAGGGTTAGGATGGGTGGTACAGCTCATCTTTCTTGTAGATGTGAGAGAAGGAATGTGTAGAGGTGACATTCCTCTCATGTGGAGAGATAATTGTGGAGAAGAAGTGTTGTTATGAGGATAAGAAGTAGAAGCTGTTTCACCTAGTGAAAGGAAGTCTATTTTGTAGAACGATATGAAGTGGAAGAGGGTTATGAGTGATTGCTAACTTATTTTGAGTAATGTTAGAGGGAAAGATTAGGGAGAATATTATCATGGAGGTACAGGATGAGTTGTTTGATTTTAATAGAAGACAAGAAGATATATCTGATCAATACTGTTCGTTAGGAAAGAGAGAAACTAAATGGAAGGCATATGGATTTGATTCTTCTGTTTTGGAAATTAAAGATGGATGGGCAGGTAGGAATCTTTGGTTCAAGGAGTTAACTCATTCTGTAAGATCAGTGAGGAATCTTGAGGGTAAATGTCTGTTGAGAATTTCAGCATAAAGAACATGGGGTTGAATCTTAGAGAAGGTAGCTCAACCTCTATCGAGTATGTGTAAATCTTATGCTTTATTATGGCTGTTGTATCAGCAACAATCATTAAGAGATAAAATAATGTCGTTGTGGAAGCATTTGTTTAGGCCTAGGTTTAAGAGTTCTTGGTTAAATGAATTAACCTATGTGAATTTGTTAGATGGGAAGGAAAATCAGTTAACAGCGCTTCATGAAGCATTGGAGGTGAAACCAGTGAGGGCTAAAATCTGTTTTTGTTAAAATAAAACATATGATGGAAAGGGGATGTTTAGGGGAATATCAGATGGTGATGATTATATGATGACTTTGGGGTAAGCAGGAACATAAGGTTAGTAATGAGAAATATAATGTAACTTTTGATGTTTCATTTAGTAAGAAGAGAAGGACTTTGATGGGGAGAGAGAAGTTTTGCATGATAATGTAACTATTGGGAATTTTAGAAACATCTGGGGTTTGTGGTGAGAAAGAATATATTCTTACCCTATGAATGGAAAGGATGTTGTTACATGTTGAAGTTGAAGCTTCCATATGAGGTTTTTAAAATTAAAAGAGGGGAAGCAAGGGACATAGATAAATCTGATTCTGAAAGAGAGAAGTGTAATAGTCTGGGAAGCCTACCATTGGAGGATAAGTCTAGGAGAGAAGTGGGGACTTTTTTCCATGGTATGGTGTAAAATTTTGGGAAGATAACATAGATAATATTACCTATAATTTGAAGGGTTTTGCAAATGAAACGATAAGAGGGTTTAACCTTCTGTCAAGACTCAAAGGAGTATTGATGGATAGATATCAATTTTGAATTTTTCAAATGTTTTTAAATATTATGGTGATTTTATTATTTTGTGATGAATCAAAGGGGGGAAATGGTATGTGATTCATTTTATATATCATTTTATATATCATTTTTAGTTGATATTGATGTTTTAATTTGAATGTGTTGTTTTGCAAAAGATACTGTTTGGTCTTTTCTTTTCTTCCAGAAGCATATGGGGGAATGTGTAGAGGGGATTCAAATACTCAAACATGGACAATATGAAGGGACAATATGAAGGGACAATATGAAGGGACAATATGAAGGGACAATATGAATGGACTGGAGGAAGTGGAACAAGGAAGGTGTGGAAAGGTTCAGATTCCATCATCGAAGATGCATTGGAAGTCGACACTGCTGAGGAGATGAAGTGTAGTGGACTACATTCCAGTGTCTACAATGATATATAGACATATTTGCATGTATAATACATAATTTGTGTCATATTCTTTCTGTATTAATTTTTGAAGAATGATATTTGCTGTTATTGGGTACATGTGGGGATCTCAGATGTTTTTGTTTATTTTGTGGATGCTTAGGGATATTGGGTCTAGGCAGGGATAGAGAGAATCCACAGGCGGGTCCGATGGGTTGACCAGCCTGAATGTGGACATTTTTGATTGTATTTTGTTTGCTGAGGCTTTCATGTGTATTTAATTGCATCATAGTCTAAAATACATTGATAAAGATGTATGAATTGATCTGGAGTACTTAAGTGGTTGCCTGGGGCAGAGGGGCCGTGAGAGAATTTTACTGTCTTGATTGATTGATGGATATTTGGAAAGAAAGCTGCCAGACAGGTTTTTCGCTCTCACACTCCATAGATATTTGTTCATATTTCATACAAATGTATTTACACTCCATAGAAAAAGGTGTTTACTCTCCATAAAATTTGGTTTATTGTTAAAGTTACTCAATAAGAGAAAAATTGTTATTTGTCATAAACCTATTCTTTTTGGTTTCGAGACTTAATTAGTCTCGAAGGGGGGATATATGTGGTATCTGAGGAATTTATGACTTTGCTAATGGTTTCGAATGGTTTTAGAGGATGTTGACTCAGCTTAAGGGGAGCATCTGGGGAGTAGTTCTATAGGGGCACCCTAAAGCCGAGGAAGTCTGTTAGGTGGAGTCCTGGGATTGGTCTGTAGGGAAAACACCCATATCAGGTTACATAGGATAAATACAAGGGTTAAAACAGAGGACGGGGAGAACAACATATTATTTTTGGTCGTTGTTCTCCAGATGCCTGCAGATGTCTGTCAATTTACGCTGAAATCTTGTGATATAAATAAACCTTTATAATCAAAGTACAGTGTAAGCGGACTCCTTGTTCTCACAGCAAAATTAGCATTATTATTTATATACAACACGGTGAAAGTATCAAATAAATTAGATGGAGTCATTCCATGTTTCCTCCTTGCACACAGGAACAAGGAAGTGAGAGAAGACCCTGTCTCCCAGGGCAACTAACTCAGTTTATAATGAGCTGCTACTTCTCCTGCAACAGCAATCTACCTGTTTTTATCAGAGGTGGGGATCTGGAGAAATGTGTTTTCCTGCGAGCACTGGCTGTTCCTGCTGAGTCACTTCCTGATAGGGCATGCCATGGCACCTTGTGTAATGAGGTGTCATCTGGTGAACCCCAGTGAACTCTGGGTAATCAGGGGGTGTGAGGTGACCTTATATATAAAGGGTACATAGTTATGGAAGTTAGATAAATAGAGAGAGAGAGAAAGAGAGAGAGAGAGAGAGAGAGAGAGAGAGAGAGAGAGATACAAGATAGACAGAAAGGGAGATTGGGAGCGATAGAGAGGGAGAGGGAGACCGAGACACAGAATAAGAAAACAAGTACAGGTGAGAGAGAAGCAGAAGGTAGAGAAGGAAAAAGGAAGTATTGAGGGGGAGAAAGAAATAAAGAGATAAAATGAGAGGGCAAGATATAGGAGGAATTGAGGAAGATAAGGAGATGTAGGGGGAGACAGAGAGATTAAGGTATGGGGAAGGGCTGATATGCGTAACTTGCTGCCCTTCATTACACTCTACTTCCATTTTACATTTACATTTTAGTCATTTAGCAGACGCTCTTATCCAGAGCGACTTACAGTTAGCGCAAACATTATTTTATCGAACCCACAACCCTGGCGTTGCAAACGCCATGCTCTACCAACTGAGCTACATCCCCTGCCGGCCATTCCCTCCCCTACCCTGGACGACGCTGGGTCTCCCGGTCGCGGCCGGCTACGACAGAGCCTGGATACGAACCAGGATCTCTAGTGGCACAGCTAGCACTGCGATGCAGTGCCTTAGACCACTGCGCCACTTCCTTGTTCTCTATAAGGGTATATGCTGTGTGTTTTACTCTACTTCCTTGTTCTCTATAATGGTATATTCTGTGTGTTTTACTCTGCTTTCTTGTTCTCTATAAGGGTATATTCTGTGTGTTTTACTCTGCTTTCTTGTTCTCTATAAGGTTATATTCTGTGTGTTTTACTCTACTTTCTTGTTCTCTATAATGGTATATTCTGTGTGTTTTACTCTGCTTTCTTGTTCTCTATAAGGGTATATGCTGTGTGTTTTACTCTACTTCCTTGTTCTCTATAAGGGTATATGCTGTGTGTTTTACTCTGCTTTCTTGTTCTCTATAATGGTATATTCTGTGTGATTTACTCTGCTTTTTGTTCTCTATAATGGTATATTCTGTGGGTTTTACTCTACTTCCTTGTTCCCTATAAGGGTATATGCATGTTCTTGCATTTCTGGAAGGAGTGTTTGTCTCTTACTCTGCTTTCTTGCGTTTGTGGTAGGATCGTCTCCAAGGGTTCCTCCAGGTCTTACGTTTGGCCAGGGCCAGGTCTGGCAGGTAGGCAGCCAGAGAACCCTCAATCTGGTCCGGTTTCCCACACAGAGCATGCTCAGTAGAGCAGTAGTAAGAGCACTCTCCATAGAAACAGATGTTATTGGCTGGGGAGAGAGGAAAACACTGGGTTTTAGTTGGCAGCAGGGGAGCAAGGGAAGAGGAGAGGGGGACAGTGTGTGTGTCTGTATGTGTGTGTCTGTGTGAGAGAGATGTGAGAAAGAGAGAGAGAGAGCGAGAGAGAGAGAGAGAGAGAGAGAGAGAGAGAGAGAGAGAGAGAGAGAGAGAGAGAGAGAGAGAGAGAGAGAGAGAGAGAGAAAGAGTGAGAGAGACAGACAGACAGACAGACAGACAGACAGACAGACAGACAGACAGACAGACAGACAGACAGACAGACAGACAGACAGACAGACAGACAGACAGGTACAGAGAGGAAGCTGGCAGGGTGTTGTAGAGCCAGACTGGTATTGGTTTCTTAATCTTGGGTTCAGGGAGGTAGGGAGGCGAGAGCTGAGCCAGCAAACTGTCTGAGTCTAGCGGTAATCTCCTGTCAGATAGAATGGCCTCTGTTACTCCACATAGCTGTTCACTGGGCTGTATGGGGATCTAACAGACAGTCTGAAGACAGGTATTAGAAGTTCAGAATTCAGCAATGGCCTTTTACATTAAAGGAGAAGTCCAGTGTTTTACAACTTAATCTTATATGGTTCCTCACATTGAAAGTAGCCTAAGGGCCAAGAGAAACTGTAAACTCGGTTTTCTTGAAATAGCCACTACAAAATGTAACTAACTTTAACCACCAACTCATGTCTGGGTGGGGAACCATCAAACATTCATTTGTAACATACTGAACTTCCAATTTAATGTAAAGGGCCTCTTTGCTATGTCCCTGTCAAACCAGTCTACATGGTACATGCCTGTATCAGTACAATGTAAAAACATAGGGTTTTCGCTCAGTTCATGTAAAGTGGGATTGAAAGGACTGAATGACAGACAAAGTAATAGACAGAGGGCTTGAGATTGTTCCGTCCGTCTGTCGGACAATAACTTTAACAACTAATCTATGAGGATGATTAGGTTACCTTTGACAGATGTGTGTTCTGTGTGTGTGTGTATTTGTGAGTGTCTGTCTGTCTGTCTGTCTGTCTGTGTTCCTCACCACCACTGGCCCAGCACTGAGCCACTAAGCTAAAGGGAATTATTGATCAGATTCCTTGTTAGGGTAGGACTTGGATCCAGCCTCTAAATATGAGTCTTTCTGGTGAATTATTGTGGTTTGCAGTTCGATTGTTTTCAGATGTTTTTTTGAAGTGTGTGTGTGTGTGTGTGTGTGTGTGTGTGTGTGTGTGTGTGTGTGTGTGTGTGTGTGTGTGTGTGTGTGTTGGGGGGACACCCTGGAGATTCTGTGTTTTTCTGTGTCGTTCCTGCAAATAAATTCCACTAAGCTGTATACTGCATAGTGAATACACAATACACTACTGTTGACTAGAGGTAGATCTAAATAACCAGCCTGATTCCTATACAGGCCTACACAGTAGCTAGGAACCAGAGTTGTAATATAAATATCCAGTCTGATTCCTCTACAGGCCTACACAGTAGCTAGGAACCAGAGTTTTAATCTAAATAGCCAGTCTGATTCCTCTACAGGCCTACACAGTAGCTAGAAACCAGAGTTTTAATCTAAATAGCCAGTCTGATTCCTCTACAGGCCTACACAGTAGCTAGGAACCAGAGTTTTAATCTAAATAGCCAGTCTGATTCCTCTAAAGTACAGTAGCTAGGAACAAGAGTGTTAATCGAAATAGCCAGTCTGATTCCTCTACAGGCCTACACAGTAGCTAGGAACCAGAGTTTTAATCTAAATAGCCAGTCTGATTCCTCTACAGACATTACACAGTAGCTAGGAACCAGAGTTTTCATCTAAATAGCCAGTCTGATTCCTCTACAAGCCTACACAATAGCTAGGAACCAGAGTTTTAATCTAAATAGCCAGTCTGATTCCTCTACAAGCCTACACAATAGCTAGGAACCAGAGTTTTAATCTAAATAGCCAGTCTGATTCCTCTACAAGCCTACACAGCAGCTAGGAACCAGATATTTAATCTAAATAGCCAGTTTGATACCTCTACAGGGCTACACAGTAGCTAGGGACCAGAGTTGTAATCTAAATCGCCAGTCTGATTCCTCTACAGACATTACACAGTAGCTAGGAACCAGAGTTTTCATCTAAATAGCCAGTCTGATTCCTCTACAAGCCTACACAATAGCTAGGAACCAGAGTTTTAATCTAAATAGCCAGTCTGATTCCTCTACAAGCCTACACAGCAGCTAGGAACCAGATATTTAATCTAAATAGCCAGTTTGATACCTCTACAGGGCTACACAGTAGCTAGGGACCAGAGTTGTAATCTAAATCGCCAGTCTGATTCCTCTACAGGCCTACACAGTAGCTAGGAACCAGAGTTTTAATCTAAATAGCCAGTCTGATTCTTCTACAAGCCTACACAGTATCTAGGAACCAGAGTTTTAATCTAAATCGCCAGTCTGATTCCTCTACAGGCCTACACAATAGCTAGGAACCAGAGTTTTAATCTAAATAGCCAGTCTGATTCCTCTACAGGCCTACACAGTAGCTAGGAACCAGAGTTGTAATCTAAATAGCCAGTCTGATTCCTCTACAAGCCTACACAGTAGCTAGGAACCAGAGTTTTAATCTAAATAGCCGGTCCAATTCATCTACAAGCCTACACGGTAGCTAGGAACCAGAGTTTTAATCTAAATAGCCAGTCTGATACCTCTATCAGCCTACATGGTAGCTAGGAACCAGAGTTGTAATCTAAATATGCAATCTGATTCCTCTACAGCCCTACACAGTAGCTAGGGACCAGAGTTGTAATCTAAATCGCCAGTCTGATTCCTCTACAGACATTACACAGTAGCTAGGAACCAGAGTTTTCATCTAAATAGCCAGTCTGATTCCTCTACAAGCCTACACAATAGCTAGGAACCAGAGTTTTAATCTAAATAGCCAGTCTGATTCCTCTACAAGCCTACACAGCAGCTAGGAACCAGATATTTAATCTAAATAGCCAGTTTGATACCTCTACAGGGCTACACAGTAGCTAGGGACCAGAGTTGTAATCTAAATCGCCAGTCTGATTCCTCTACAGGCCTACACAGTAGCTAGGAACCAGAGTTTTAATCTAAATAGCCAGTCTGATTCTTCTACAAGCCTACACAGTATCTAGGAACCAGAGTTTTAATCTAAATCGCCAGTCTGATTCCTCTACAGGCCTACACAATAGCTAGGAACCAGAGTTTTAATCTAAATAGCCAGTCTGATTCCTCTACAGGCCTACACAGTAGCTAGGAACCAGAGTTGTAATCTAAATAGCCAGTCTGATTCCTCTACAAGCCTACACAGTAGCTAGGAACCAGAGTTTTAATCTAAATAGCCGGTCCAATTCATCTACAAGCCTACACGGTAGCTAGGAACCAGAGTTTTAATCTAAATAGCCAGTCTGATACCTCTATCAGCCTACATGGTAGCTAGGAACCAGAGTTGTAATCTAAATATGCAATCTGATTCCTCTACAGCCCTACACAGTAGCTAGGAACCAGAGTTTTAATCTAAATAGCCAGTCTGATTATTCTACAGGCCTACACAGTAGCTAGGAACCAGAGTTTTAATCTAAATAGCCAGTCTGATTATTCTACAGGCCTACACAGTAGCTAGGAACCAGAGATTTAATCTAAATAGCCAGTCTGATTCCTCTACAGGCCTACACAGTAGCTAGGAACCAGAGTTTTTCCTGGTCAAGTCATTCCTGAAGAAAATGATCAAGTATGGAAACTACACTCAACTACTGCTGTTGCTAGGACCACATAGCAACGCTAACCATAGTGGGAATAAGTTATCTGTGAGAAACAGACAATAAAGAAATATCTCATCTAAGTTTTGAGTTTGCCCTACTCCATAGGTATTCTGTGGGAATGTTGTTGTAAAGTTGTAAGAATGTTGTGGGATCGTTGTGAGAATGTAGTAGCAGTGTGTTTACCTGGGGAGATGAAGAAGGTCCTCCAGAGCTTTTTGTCCCTGGTCACATCCCGTATCTCCCTGGTCATGTTGACCAGTCTTCCCGCTACCGGGGGAACTCTCCGGAAGTCTAGGATCCTGAGGGCGGAGACCATAGATATACATCAGATCAGTATGAAACATAATGGAGATGTCTGGAAATATCCCATTAGGAAACCCAGTAGAAATTCAAATCAATTTAATAAGACTTTATTGATCCCACAGGGGATAATAATTTATATATGACACCATTGTTTTACAAACTATTGTGTTTTCAAAAACATACTGTGTATGGAACCACGTATGCTGATGGGATATAATTGTTTTAGGGCCTTTTGATCCTTACTTTAGGGCTTCATGACGGAATATCCTTCCTCACCACATCATCAATAACTATTAGCCCAAATAAAGATCGGTAAATGTTATGCCATTAAAACGGGACACAATTTCCTGCTTGAGGGAGAAGCCAGGAATGATTTTCAATCCAAAGTGCCAACGGTGGAGTGTGTGTGTGTACGGGCCTCTTTCTTCCCTGCTAGTGTGGTGTGATGATATTAGTAATAATTCATCTATTTTACAGTACAATTCTCGTAGCTCCTTTCATTAGGCCTTTTAAAAAGTGGTGTTTTATGCAACGTTCAGCATCCGGTCGCTCAAAAACACATGGGCTGAGAGACTGGGAGTCCTCCTTCTTTCGCCCGCGCTCCTCTCATGTCCTCTACTATACTAACTCTCTCTCTCTCTCTATCTCTCTATCGCTCTCTCTCTCTTCTCTCTAGCATTCTCTCTATAATATCTCAATTAATCATCTTCTGTATGTGGTCTAACTGTCTGCTGTCCTCGACCGCTACCCCAACGCTAATCCCTTTACTCTACCCCTCTCTCTCTCTCTGTGCGTCCTGTTCTTGCTATAACTTTTCTCTCTTTTCCTTCCTCTCTTCCAACTGACCTTATTTCTGCCTATGTCTTTGTCTGACGATTTTTCTGTGTGTGTGTGCCACACTAGCTGGGCCAGGCCTCCTACTCATTTGATACCTCTTTAACCATCCTTGTCGTTGCTTCCTGCAGCATGACCTCTCTGAGGCTTAGACTCCTGGGAGCGGAGTGTGTGAGTGTGGGTTTGTGTGTGTGTGTGTAACCTTGAAGTCTTAGCCCTTAGGGAGAGACAGACAGGGAGACAGGATGTGGGGCTGCAAGGATGAAACCCTAGCCACCAGATGAAAGCTCTCAGGAGCTATAGCCGCTCAAAGTGCACAGTCACCATGAACCAGATGACAAAGGAACTCCTGTATGGAGCCAGGCTCTCTCTCTCTTTTGCTCTCTCTCTCTCTCTGTACCCCACTCTTGTCATCCACCTTGAAGGGTAGAGTACTGCTTACAGAGAGTGTAGAGTAGAGTACTGCACAGTGTACGCTATAGGGAGGACTGCTCAGTGTAGGTTAAAATGGTACAATGTGTGAAAGTGGAAAGGCTTTGAGTTAACCCTTACACAGCATAACGATAACACGTTGTACATTTCTCAAAAGCAAGTGTATCAACAGTGTCTACTGTCCAGCCATAGAGGGAGTGAAGAGAAGAGGATATACACAGAGCCAAACAATTCCTCCTGTTCTCCTCTTTCTACACATTCCTCTAGCTATTCATATTGAGAGGCCGCGTCCCAAAAGGAACCCTATTCCCTTTGCAGTGCACTGCTTGGTCAAAAGTAATGCACTACAAAGTGAATAGGGTGCCCTTTGGGACACAAACACAGAGTTCCACAGGCTGCTGTCCAGAAGATGGTGCGGCCCTGGGTCAAACAACAAGGCCGTAATTCATATAGCCAGACTCAGCTTGGCATACACAACCTAACAACAACCTAAATACAACCTGCTCTTTAGGGGCTAGCAGAGTTACCTCCTCCCTGCCCTAAATTATGCCCTGCTGGCATTGGCATGTCCCTTGGTTTCCTCTCCTCAGCCCACTGTGCCCACACAAACACATGCCTCTGGCCCCGGCCTGGCATTCCACTGGGCTGGGTGTGTGTGTGTGGGTGGGTAATTAGGTGTATGTGTGTGTGTGTTTGTGTTTGTGTGTGTGTGTGAGAGAGAGTGTGTTAGTGTGTGAGAGAGTGTGTGTGTGTATGTGTGTGAGAGAGAGAGAGAGAGAGAGGAGAGAGAGAGAGAGAGAGGAGAGAGAGAGAGAGGAGAGACGGGAGAGGAAGCGGAGGAGAGATGGAGGAGAGAGATGAGAGAGAGAGAGAGAGAGAGAAAATCCTCTGCATTATCATTAACAGCAGACTAGTTCATTTCCTCAGTGAAAACAATGTACTGAGCAAATGTCAAATTGGCTTTTTACCAAATTACCGTTCGACAGACCACGTATTCAACCCTGCACACCCTAATTGACAAACAAACAAACCAAAACAAAGGCAAAGTCTTCTCATGCTTTGTTGATTTCAAAAAAAGCTTTTGACTCAATTTCGCATGAGGGTCTGCTATACCAATTGATGGAAAGTGGGGTTGGGGGAAAAACATACGATATTATAAAATCCATGTACACAAACAACAAGTGTGCGGTTAAAATTGGCACACATTTCTTTCCACAGGGCCGTGGGGTGAGACAGGGATGCAGTTTAAGCCCCACCCTCTTCAACATATATATCAACAAATTGGCGAGGGCACTAGAACAGTCTGCAGCACACGGCCTCACCCTACTAGAATCTGAAGTCAAATGTCTTCTGTTTGCTGATGATCTGGTGCTTCTGTCACCAACCAAGGAGGGCCTACAGCAGCACCTAGATCTTCTGCACAGATTCTGTCAGACCTGGCCCTAACAGTAAATCTCAGTAAGACAAAAATAATAGTGTTCCAAAAAAGGTCCAGTTGCCAGGACCACAAATACAAATTCCATCTAGACACCGTTGCCCTAGAGCACACAAAAAAATATACATACCTCGGCCTAAACATCAGCGCCACAGGTAACTTCCACAAAGCTGTGAACGATCTGAGAGACAAGGCAAGAAGGGCCTTCTATGCCATCAAAAGGAACATAAAATTTGACATACCAATTAGGATCTGGCAAAAAATACTTGAATCAGTTATAGAACCCATAGCCCTTTATGGTTGTGAGGTCTGGGGTCCGCTCACCAACCAACAATTCACAAAATGGGACAAACACCAAATTGAGACTCTGCATGCAGAATTCTGCAAAAACATCCTCTGTGTACAACGTAAAACACCAAATAATGCATGCAGAGCAGAATTAGGCCAATACCAGCTAATTATCAAAATCCAGAAAAGAGTCGTTCAATTCTATAACCACTTAAAAGGAAGCGATTCCCAAACCTTCCATAACAAAGCCATCACCTACAGAGAGATGAACTTGGAGAAGAGTCCCCTAAGTAAGCTTGTCCTGGGGCTCTGTTCACAAACACAAACAGACCCCACACAGCCCCAGGACAACAACAACAGCAACAACAACACAATTAGACCCAACCAAATCATGAGAAAACAAAAAGAGAATTACTTGACACATTGGAAAGAACAAACAAAAAAACTGAGCAAACTAGAATGCTATTTGGCCCTAAACAGAGAGTACACAGTGGCAGAATACCTGACCACTGTGACTGACCCAAACTTAAGGAAAGCTTTGACTATGTACAGACTCAGTGAGCATAGCCTTGCTATTGAGAAAGGCCGCCGTAGGCAGACCTGGCTCTCAAGAGAAGACAGGCTATGTGCACACTGCCCACAAAATGAGGTGGAAACTGAGCTGCACTTCCTAACCTCCTGCCAAATGTATAACCATATTAGAGACACATATTTCCCTCAGATTACACAGACCCACAAAGGATTTGAAAACAAGCCCAATTTTGATAAACTCCCTTATCTATTGGGTGAAGTACCACAGTGTGCCTTCACAGCAGTTAGATTTGTGACCTGTTGCCACAAGAAAAGGGCAACCAGTGAAGAACAAACACCATTGTAAATACAACCCATATTTATGTTTATTTATTTCCCCATTTGTACTTTAACTATTTGCACATTGTTACAACACTGTATATATACATAATATGACATTTGAAATGTCTTTTTTCTTTTGAAACTTCTGAGTGTAATGTTTACTGTTAATATTTATTGTTTATTTCACTTTTGTTAACTATCTACTTCACTTGCTTTGGCAATGTTAACACACGTTTCCCATGCCAATAAAGCCCCTTAAATTGAAATTGAATTGAAATTGAGAGAGAGAGAGAGAGAGAGAGAGAGAGAGAGAGAGAGAGAGAGAGAGAGAGAGAGAGAGAGAGAGAGAGAGAGAGAGAGAGAGAGAGAGAGAGAGAGGGGCAGCAGGCTATAGTAAACACATTGTGTAACGTCTACCCTGCCAGCCTGCTAGTACAGTGAGCTTTATTCTCTATCCAAAACAAGGGAACCAGGCACAGATGTGTGTGTGTGTGTGTGTGTGTGTGTGTGTGTGTGTGCGCGTGTGTGTGTGTGTGTGTGTGTGTGTGTGTGTGTGTGTGTGTGTGTGTGTGTGTGTGTGTGTGTGTGGTGTGTGCCAATCTGAATAACCTTAGGGTTGATAAGTGTTGATGTTCTTACACCTGGTCTGATAAGGATGAAATACTGAACAGATACTGTGAGAATGTAGACCAGTGGTGGGAAAAGTACCCAATTGTCATACTTGAGTAAAAGTCAAGATACCTTAACAGAAAATGACTCAAGTAAAAGTGAAAGTCACCCAGGAAAATACTACTTGAGTAAAAGTCTAAAAATATTTGATTTTAAATATACTTAAGTATCAAAAGTAAATGTAATTTCAAAACTATTCTTAATTATCAAAAGTAAAAGTACATTTCAAATTCCTTATATTAAGCAAACCAGACAGCATAATTTTCTTGTTTTTTAAATTTACGGATAGTCAGGGGCACACTTCAAAACTCAGACATAATTTACAAATGAAGGATTTGGGTTTAGTGAGTCCGCCAAATCAGAGGCAGTAGGGATGAGCAGGGAAGTTCTCTTGATAAGTGCATGAATTTGACAATTTTCCTGTCCTGTTAAGCATTCAAAATGTAATGAGTACTTTTGGGTGTCAGGGAAAATGTATGGAGTAAAAAGTACATTATTTTCTT